TCTGCAAATAATCTGTTTTTCCTTTACGTTTTAGTGGACAGTTCTGTTTTCTGTTATCGGACATGCTAGAATTTCCAAAACAGTGTTAAGTGCCATATTTGTTTCATTCTAAGGCTGTTGAACATAGAACAAGCTATGTTCAATAATAGCTTTGGCGGGCTATCATATGAAATATATACACACGTTGCAATCACATTAATTACAATATCAGAAATGTTAGGAGTGCTTCTCAGAATTGAAGAAATAAGATCACAATAATGGTGGCCCTCCTTATTTTATTTCTCATTTTATTGGGAATGCCTAACTCATTTTAAATATGATATTGGCTGTTGGTTTATGATCAACAATGTTTGTTATATTTTTTCAAAGAAAACAAAAGGCTGTAATTCTGCTGGACAGTAACAGGAAGGGTGTTTGGTGTGACTACAGCCTGGGAATCGTGGCCCCACGGCGTCCCCGCCAGCTGGTCTGCTGCAGCCTTTCCCTCTGCTGGCGCCAGCTGCAGGAATCCCGGCCGTGGAGCCAGGGCTGTGCTAGTTTTGCACTCAGAGCCCCGTTTGCCCTGAGCATCAGGATGGTGTCTTAGCTTCCTAGAACGGAAGCTATTCGTGCCTATCACCATAAATTTGGTGACTCATAACGAGAAAATTACCCTTACGGGTCTGGAGGCCGGAAATCTGAAATCCGCATCACTGGACCAGTATGGGGGTGTCACGGGGCCGTGCTCCCTCCAGGGGCTCCTGGTGAGGGTCCCCTTTAGGTACCTGGTGGCCACATCACTCCTGTCTTCGAGGCCTTCAAACCTCTCTCTGCTCTGTCTTCACACACCTGTTCCTCTGTGTGTATAGCTGGGAACGCGTGTGAGCGGGTCAGTGCGGGAGGAAAGAAGGGATTTAAAGACGTGTGTTAGCAATAGCAGAGCCTCAGTCATTCCTGTGGAAGGAACACCGGACACACGGACCGGGCTCCAGTTTCGTTCCCAGAAAGTCAGTCCACCGGAAGTCCCACAGAGCCCCTCCGCCCCGGCCCCTTCATGGTCCCCAGTCTACAGCGACGGGGAGGTGTGCCAACTACACTTCTATGACTGTTATGAAGACAGAATGAAAAACGAGTCAGTTAAGACCAGAGAGCGCTAAGAAAAAAAGCCATGTCAGCATCCTGGGGTTTTAGCAAGGTGGCCATTCGGGGGACTGGCCGTTTGGCGTCGGCGGGGGGTGGGACCCGCCCGCTCACGCAGTGACCGCGCGGACCTGCAGGCCAGAGGCTGCCTCCAGCCTGCCTGGAACATGGCTGCTCTCGTCCCTCTGCCTGCCACAAGCCACAGAGATGGGGGCGTGAGCCTTGCCGGAGCCGGGACTGGGCCCCTAGGGAAGAGGAGGAGGCGAGAGTGAGTGGGAGGCTCGGGAGAGCAGCTGAACCTCTGCTGGCCAGGCTGGCGCGGGGGGCAGTTTGAGGGGCAGGCCTCGATGCGTAGAGTCACAGGAGGGTCATCGTGGGGGGTTTTACGAGACTAAGTATACATGAATGGGTTAAACTTCCACGTGAGGGGCACCTGGATGGCTCAGTTGGTTACGCATTTGACTTCAGCTCAGGTCACGATCTCACGGTTTGAGTTCAAGCTCCACGTTGGGCTCAGAGCCTGGAGCCTGCTTCGGATTCTGTGTCTTCCTCTCTCTCTGCCCCTCCCCTGCTCACACTCTCTCTCTTTCAAAAATAAATGTTAATAAATAAACTTTCACGTGAAACAGTGAAAAGGCTAGCACAGCCTGCTAGCCAGGCTATTAGTGTGCCTTTGACATTCTAACTGATATTCTATCCTTAACATATGATCACACTTCCCGTCACCATGCCTGGTACCTATAGGTAGTTGGTAAATACTTTTCTCTCATTTACTGGCTAACTGTGGGCGCGGGCACCTTCTGCTGTCGGGCCCCTCGGTGTCTTCCGGGGCACGTGGGGCATCCCATGCTCTGTCGTGACTTCAGAAGCCAGTCAGGGGGTTAACGTCAGTAGGACGGGCGTCTATGGCTGTGGGCCACCGGTCCATCTGCAGAAAGCAGGCAGGGTGGCTGTGGGAAGGCCCTGGGGTCCTGACCACCATGTTGACTTGGCGGGATGAGAACCCAGTGATCAAGGAAGGAAGAGAAACAGCTGCCAGAGAGAAGGGTAGTGACCACAGGCTGCTGGGCCCGGCAGTTCTCGGAAGTGCTTAGTGCATATTTCCTAGGAGTTGGGGTAAGAAAGAGTGTTTATTAACGCGCATATCCTCTTCTGAAATGATGCCCTATTAGTTAAAAATAGCTTAGTAACGTGTTATCTTTTTTGATGCCGTGTGCGAGGTGAGCAGCACACGTTCACGGCGGTGCACTCCGGCAGCAGCGCGGCCGTGGGCGGAAGGGGTGCGTCACCTGCTCTACAGACGGCGGGGGGACTGGGTCAGGTGTGGCCCCTGCGCGATCGCGCACGGCTGTAGGGAATCACGGGCTACGACGGGTGCCTACGTCCCCTGCGCTGTCAGCTTGTCCGCAGCACACGCCTCCTCAGTCACCACAAAGCCAGGCCACCGTTCATAGGTAAGAAGTAAGACAGCAGAGATTGGAAAGGAACAGCCACTCTGCGGCCCGGTGCTTGGCCAAGTCCGGGCCCTGACGGCGCGTGCGAAGCCAGAGTCCGGCAGCATCACCCGGAAGGCGACCTGAACACCGAGCAGGGGGGCCGTACGCACCCCTGCACCCCTCGTCGTGGACGGCAGCTCTGCGTCAGGCAGGTGGTTGCTGGTGGCAACCCCAGGGGGTATGGGCTCGGGCGGCCACACATCTGGGGCTGCTGGCCGGCTGGACAAGCAGACTCGGGCCCGGGGTGGGCACCTGTGTGGTGGCAGTGCCCTGTGCCCGGAGGAGATACAGAGCGGAGGGACCGGGGCACTAACAGTGGGCGGGTGGGGGCGTTTTGTCTGTTTGCTTGTTTGTATTTTCTGAAATGTTCTCCAAGTGACTCGTTACTTGTGCTTAGTTTTTAAAAACTGTTTCATCCAAGTTGCGGAGTCGCTAGGACAGGACAGCGCGCCAGTGGCGGGCAGCACCCGCAGCGCTGGGGGAGCCTGTGGCGGGGCGGCGGGCGCCTCGTGGGAGAGAGCCGCTGAGCCCCAGTGACCGGGGCGCTTGGCATTCTTTCCTGGCGGGGCTGCCCCTCCTTCGTTGGGGAGCGAGTCTCCCTGTTCTGCGTCAGCGCCGCCCCCCATGTGAGGTTAAAGGGGTGCAGGAGGCACCTTTGCTGCCCGTAGCTGGGACTTAGGCCTTTCTGGAACATTCTGGTAGAAGGGTCAAAGGCCATGGGCTTATTTAGTCCGAAGGCAGGAAAATAGGTAAGACCTAACGCATTTTACTTAAGGGAAAAATAGAACATAGGGAGACGGGCTAGGGTCAGGTACGGAGAGGTTTTTGTTGTTTTTAAACCTTTTAACCTTGTGAAGTGTGGGCACATCCGTGCGTCAAGTACATGACTTAATGGACTTTGGGACGGCCACCAGGATGTGGAGCCGGCACCCTCGTCACAGGCCCCCGGGTGGCCCTGCCCGTCAGCGCACCCTCCTCCGCCCGACAGTGGTCCCGTGCTGCCCTCTGTGCGCTGCCTCCTGTCCTGCTGCTGGTTTGGGACTTGAGGTAAGCACACAGGTCGTGGGTGTAGGACTTTCGCTCTGTGCGGCCTGCTGGGCCGCGAGTGGTTACGGCCGCTGGTGTGTGTCGCTGTGGACTGTCCCGTGGCCAGCACGTGCGCTGTCTACCCGTCTTACTTTCCTGGATGTTCGGGCTGTTTCCAGGTTGTGTGTCACCAGCGAGGCAGCTTTGCGTTCGAGTGTCCAGCTGTAGAAGTGGGATTGCACAGCCGTAGGGCGTGTGTCATCACTCCCGTCCTGTATATTGCTGACCTGGCTTCCTGTAGGGACCCCCCCCAGCCTGCCCAGACAGTGGGTTGTGGGTCTGGGGGGTGGGCAGCGGCCAGCTCTCCTGATGTGAGGAGACTGAGGCTGGTGCGGGCATGTTGATCTCTCTGGTGTCCGGAGTTCCGGGCCTACGTTTTGCTGGTTGGTTATTTGTTGTGCGCAGTCGTTTACGCTACGTGGGGATGTCGGGATCTACGGCCCTGCCCGGCGGGAAGACCCTACAGCCAGGTGTATAATCACGTAATTCACCACACAGTGACCGCTGTTGGGAGTGTGGGTCTTCCCCAGCAGACTGGTGGCTGAGGACACCCGCCCTCACCTGGCACGCAGGGGGGGCGCCAAGAAGGGCCGGGAACCCACCCGAGGCGCGTTCAGAGATGGAGAAGGTGCTCGGTAGGGGGAAGTGCTGAGTAACCTAGAAACACAAAATGAGGAACTGCACCCACTCCCCCCCAGAGCTGGTGGGGCTTGGGGGGGGGGAGCGGATATTCGAAGCAGATCCCGGAGACTTGTCAGAAGCAGTGCAACAAGTGTATTCCAGGCCAAGGAGGAAAGGCGCAAAGGCATTCCCGGGGGGATGGGGGGCAGCGCACTGCAGATGTGGGGTTGGAAGCTGGGTGCCCCGGGGAGACTGGAGGGAAAGGGCACCAGCTGGGCACCGTCCCGGGCAGTGGGCGACGAAACACAGAAAGTCGGTTTCTCACGGGGAGGACTGCTGGCCAGGAGGACAACACAGGCCTACCGTGACATCAGCTGAATCCCCCCCAAGTGGGCAACAGAAGTTATCTCTGGGGAAGCGCAGGGTGGGGGTGCAGAGTGAGGCCTCAGTCTGCACATCTGTAATTTGGGAGTCGTGCCGCCCACCTGGCTGAGAAGGTGGTGGGGGGTGACGGCTGCAAAGTACTGCCCGAGAGAGCGGCTGCTGCAGTGGCGTCACTATCACATCCTAAGTTGTGCGCGCGGTGGTGGGTTTAAGCAGTCCGGGTCCGGCGTCGGGGCAGAGCGCCCGCCCGCCCGCAGCCACCTGGTGCTGGGCCCGCGGTCGGGGGCGGGGCGGGTGCCGGGGCGCCCTGCCAGCAGGGGGCCAGGCCGGATCGGCGCGAACGCAGCCGGCTCCTGTTGGCTCTGCGCAAACCCCTCCTCCCGCTAACTTCCCAAAGAGGCCGTCCTTCCGAAGAAACGAAAGTGAAATTGAAGCGGGGCCCTTTCGCCGCCCTGCCCGCGCGCCCAGGCTGCTTACCCGACCCCGGGGGTGCGGGGGTGCGGTGCGTCCGCCGGAGGGGGGCCGGCCCACCTGGGGAGGGTCGCGCCGGAAGCAGAAGGGCCGCCAGCACCGCTCCAGGTCATGCGTCAGGGGCGCCATGGACCCCAGGCAGGTGAGCCGGCTGCACCCAGAGCGTGCGGGGCCTCAGTCCGGTCCGTGAGGGGGCGCGTGGGGGCGCGCGCGCCTCGGCTGCGGAGAGCTGGGCCCGCCGGGTCTGTCGCCGCCCAGCACGAGCGCCCCTGGGGCGGTGTGCCTCGCTGTTAGCCGCCCTCCCCCTGCACTCACTCCGCTTCCGCGAGGCTTCTGGGAATGGAAGCCGGCCCTTCGAACCCGCGGGAGAAAGTCTGTACGGGGCAGCGCTGTTCGTTGTCGCCGCAAACTGGAGACGCCAGAGGCGCCTCGGCAGGCGGGAGGCCAGCGCACGGGGTGCCTGGGACCGCAGCGCCCGCCGGGCCGAGTACGGCCGACGGAGCCTCCGACGCTGTCCGCAGGGGGCGGGGCTGCAGGGACCTGACACCCGGGGAAGCGCTGCGCCCGGACCGGAAACGGACGGGCTGCGGGCGGCCGTGGGGGAAGGGCTGGCGCGTGCGGGGGACGTGCGTGCGGGGGGACGTGGGGGAAGGGCTGGCGCGTGCGGGGCGACGTGCGTGCGGGGGGACGTGGGGG